CGGAGCCACTGAGCTAAATCCCCTTCCCAAAGCCAGGGTCTCATTAAGTGCCTAAATTGCCCAGGCTGGGCTCAAAATTTCAAACCTCCTGCCTCAGCCTCTCAGAGTGCTGGAATTATAGGCGTGTGCTACCATACCTGGTTCATTCTTCTGTTTATATGAAATGATACAGTACGGTGCATGAGAAAACTTAGGCTTTGTTTTTCCTCAGACCTTGGGTTGGGTGCTAACTCTGCTTTTAGTGGCTATATGACTTTGGGCTCTTCTGTAAAATGGGATAGTAATATAGTATATACCTCAAAATGTTGTAATAACTAGGGCTAGATGTAATAACTAGGGCTCAGGGGTAGGGCTAACATGAGTGAGGTCCTAGGTTCAATCTCCACCAATTAAATTGTATATATACTGTGTGTATATATATGTAATTAATACACATATATTCATTATATATTATATGTGTATTAATCCCCATGAATCAAATTCTATACACTGTACATATATATATAAAATCAATACAAATACATATATACATATATGTATTAATGACTGAAAAACTACATATACAGTGTTTAGCACATACTTGGTGCATTAAAAGTACCCATAATACTGTTATTATTATTGCATTTAAAAATATAGTTCAGTTCCCTATGCATGGATGGACTCAGAGGTTCTTTCCCTACTGGTATTCTTTGAAGTGAATTTTCATTGCTTTTAAAATAATTCCCTCCATTGACTTTAGAGTTTATATGTTTTTGGCTTTCTTTCCATTGTATACATCTGCTGGGCAGGAATCTCATGTTCTCCCAGGGAAAGAGTTTTGATGAAAGATTGGCTTATGTACTGGATTTAAGGAATGTTATCTAGTTAAGACTTAGGCTGAGTTTCCCTGTGTACCCACCCTCTTGCCTTTTGTCTCTCAATTAACTTTGTGATTGATTTATGCAGGGTGTTAGGGAAAAATCAGAAATGCCCTTGTACTTGTTTTCTTTTAAGGGACCTTTTGGATCGACTTTTGCAGTAAACATATGGTGGGGCAGCTGATTATACAAACAGGCAGGAGGGAAACCTAGGAGTTGCAGAGCCAGAAGCCAGGGAAGGGAAGCACATGGAAGGGGGACAGGATTAGAACAGTAAGAGGAGTTGTGGAGAAAGCTGTCTGTTGTCTTGTCCTAATTAGCAAGAAGTCCTGTGACCTGTACTGAAGCCAGAAGTAAGTCTTAAACAAGGCCTAAGAACATGTAAGAAGAATAATTTGAAGAAAGTTGCCCATTATTCGTATTTTCAGTTAGGAGAACCAGTGGGTTAAATATAAGAATGAGAGTTTTATAACTTTCCACTTCCTGTTTATGCTACACAGATGTGGGTATCAAGTTTGATGAATAGAGAGCAGGGGCTTCAAAACTTTCCATATTTTCTGTAATACAGACTTGATGTGGAGGTTGGAGTTCACAGGAGGAGTACTGGAAAGGGGGAAAAAGAAAACTGAAGGGGACTACAGAGAGTTTGTTGCAGTATGAAGACAGCAGAAACTTTGTATGTGGTATTTCTAGGCACCTAGAGGCTATTTCTTGACCTTGGGAATGCCATGTTGGTTTAAATGAAGAGCCTCTGAGTACTTCAATCCCATAGAATCATCTGGATATTTTATTGATGGGTTATGTGCAGGGCTAGGTAGTGCCAGTAATTTTTGCTCTTGAAGGTATTTGGCTAGTCACTATGTCTTCTAGAAAGTCTTGACTTCCATATATTTTACTTTGGTCTGACTTGGTTTACCATTTTATCCCTAGAGCTCATTGTCCGCGTGGGTGAGTCAGCTCTGATGGAATGTCATTTCCAGAGCACAGAAGAGAAACGTGTGACCAAGGTAGACTGGATGTTCTCTTCAGGACAGCATGCCAGGGTAAGGAGGAAGAAACCTCACTGTGTAGTAGAAGCCCTTGGCTGGGGTCAGGATAGAAGTGGGAGAGGGAGAATCAGTCACAAAGTGGGTAGTTTTGCAAGAGCTTGGGCTTCAGAGCCTAACGGACACAGCCTTCTATCTCAACCACTTGGCAGCAACTCTGGCTTCCTAATGGGTACGTGACTAATGATGGAGAAGGTGAGGGAGGGAGGGAAGGGGCTTAACTTTTAGGATTGTCAAGACACTGCTATAAAATCATACATATCAAGTTTTTTGTACATGACTCAGCTGCTGGATTGGGGTTTCCTTCCTTCTTCTTCTCCTCTTTGTAGAGGTCATGAGAGAATGGGGGGACAATTTTTGTGGCCTAGATAGGAAAGCTATAGCCAGGCATAAGAATATAGTTACATTCTGATGGATCAGGATGGGATATTTCATGGGAGCTCTAAAGTGGTTGACAGCAAGTTAGCCTACTAGACTGGTAGCTCTCAACCATGATGAGGTGAAGTATTTATGGGTCAAGGAGTGTTGTGAGGGATGTTCTAGGTAATTTATTATTATTATTATTATTATTATTATTATTATTATTTGGTACTGGAGATTGAACTCGGGACCTTGTGCTTGCACAGCAGGCACTGGAACCACTGAGCTAAATCCCCGGCCCCAAATTGATTATTAATGAAAGTTAAGGTACAAAGTTCATAAAAGATTTCATTCTTATGAAGTAAAATGTATTCTGGGTCATCCTTCTGAAAAAGAAAATCATTTGTGGACCGGGGATTTAGCTCAGTGGTTCCACTGCCTGCCTCACAAGCGCAAGGACCTGAGTTCAATTCCTGGTACCAAAAAAAAAAAAAAAGACACCTGGGGGCTACCCATTTTCCGGCCCCCCTTCTGTCTCTCTTAGGCAGAAGCCTTCTTTCTCCCAATAAATTTTTTCTACTCTAAAAAAAAAAAAAAATCATTTGCACTCAGTTCTCCATACTGTTTGAGTAGGTCAGAGAAGATAGTGTCATGGTGGAACATGGGGAATTATATGTGAGCCCAAGGGTACTGAGAGTTTGTCATTTTTTTGTTTTGTTTTGCTACTAGGGATTGAACCCAGGGCCTTCATACTGAGCTACACTCATAGTCCTTTGTCTTAGTTACTTTTCTCTTGTTGCTGAGACAAAATACCCAACACCCAAAGTTAAAGGGGAAAGGTTTATTTACTTCATAGTTTGTAGGGTTTCAGTTCATAATCGGCTGGCTCCAAGGCAGGGTGGCAGAGGGGTAACAGTTCGAGGGGGTAGAAGATAGCAAAAGCAGCAAGAGAGTTTAACAGCGTCTTTCTGCCCCTTTTATCTTATTTAGACTACTTAGGGCAGATAGCCTCATGGCCTTAATCCTAGTGGCCTTGGGCCTAGCCCTACCATGAATCACACACTCCAGATTCAGCCACTTCTGAAAGCATACGAGACTTTGGCAAGGAGCATCTAGACACAAGTCATAATACCCTTAAAAAATTTTTTTTAAATTTTGAGACAGGTAAGTCACCAAGTTGCTGCCCAAGCTGGGCTTGAACTTGTGATCTTCCTGTCTCAACTTCCCACAATGCTGGAATTACAGGTACATGCCACCATGCCCAGCTCTCGTCATACATTTAAAATGTTATCCATCAAACGATTCACAGCAGAGACCAGGTTAGGTCTCTCCATTTGTATTTATGTCTGTATATCTATTACCTTTTCTTAAAAGTGTTAAAAAATCTATATGCCTTCATAAAAAATTCTAGCACTCATTCACTTAACAAGTTTTTTTTAAAGCATCTGTTATGTGATGAACAGTCACAGCCCCTGTCCTGATGGGGGACTTATAATCAAGATGGAGGATAGAAACGATAAAATAATAAAGAAATAAATGTATAATGTATCAGATAGTAGTAAGAGCTGTAGAGAGCCATAAAGCAGCGTTTTGTGGTTGTTGTTTTATGTAGGTGATCAGGGAGGCCTTACCAATGTGATGTCTGAGCAGTGGTCTGAAGGAAGTGAGCAGTGGTCTGAAGGAAGTGAGGGGAGGGAACCATGTGCTTTTCTGAGGAAGGGAGAGAGTTCCAGTCATAGGGATTAGCAAGTTCAAGGGCCCTGAGGCCAAGATTTAAGGAGTGGCAAGGGGGTTTTTGTGACTGTGGCTGGTGAGGGAAGATCAAGTAAAGACAAAATTCCAGAGTGAAAGAGGACCAGGACAGATCATGTAGAACCTTGTGCTTTCAGTGGAAACAAGAGGCCATTGAAAGATTGTGAGCAGAGAAGTGTGGCATGATGTAGCTTACATTTTTAAAGGTTCATTTGCTGGCTGAGTATAGATTGTAATGAGAAGTAAACAGGGAGACAAGTAAGAAAGCCCCTGAGGAATACAGGGGAGAGGTGAGGTCATGGTCTGGACCAGGATTGTGACATGGGGAGGTGAGAAGTGGCTGAATTCAGGGTGTAGTTTGAAGGTAGAGGTGACAGGATTTACTGAGGCATTAGATGTGAGTTGCTACAAGGACCCGAGTTCAATCCTTGGTACAAAAAAAAAAATTCCCATAGATGTGAGTTGCTCAAAAAAGAGAATTAAGAATAATTTTAACCTAAGCATTTGGAAGAAGGCACTGCCATTTGCAGTGGACTAGAAGAAACTGGCTTAGGGGAACAATAAGGAGTTCAATTTTAGACATGTTTCTGGTGCTTGTGGAAATCCAACTGGAAATGCACAAAAAACAAAAGTACACCTTTGCATATATATATATGAGAAATATAGGCATGTGCTCTACTACTGAGTCATACCCCCCCCACCCCGGTCCCCTTTTAAATTTTTATTTTATTTTAGGTTAGTTTTTATTTTTTTGTACTGGGGATTGAACTCAGGACCTTGCACTTATGAGGTAGGCAGCGGCACCACTGAGCTAAATCCCAGGTCCTAAATTTTTATTTTATTTTGAGACAGTGTCTCACTAAAATACCTAGTCTGGCCTCAAAGTTGTGATCCTTCTGCCTCCGCCTCTCAAATAGCTGGGATTATAGGGCTGTGTCACCATACCTGGCTAAAAGTCCTTTATTCTTATTTTTAGAAAATCCCCATCTTCTACTAGAACAATTATTCATGGTTTAGTGATATCTTTCACGGATACACGTACATATACACTTGTGTGTACACAACTTTGTGTTATCCACCATTCTCTTTGTGATAATACTTTTCCTGTTTTCATATAACAGGGCCTTGTGAGTCCTGGGATTTTCCTACCCCCTCTCCTCCCTATACCTCCTTCCTGCACTCCTTGAAATCTCATGCTTTTTGCCTTTCTTTTCTAGGAGGAGGTTGTTTTACTCTATAACCTCAACAGGCCTATGAGGTATCCCCAGTACCAGGGCCGCTTCCAGAACCGTGTAAACCTGGTGGGGGACATTGCCCACAATGATGGCGCCATCATGCTCCAGAGAGTGAAGGAGTCTGACGAGGGAAACTACACCTGTAGAATCTACTTGGGGAGCCTGATGTTCAGGAAAACCCTTGCTCTGCATGTGATCCTGGAAAAACCTCAAAGTAAGTATCTAGTATTCGGTTGGGAAGGGATGAGGGACTGTAGCTTGTCCAGGGCCAGCCTTGGAGTGAGTCCAGAAGGATTCTTGGGTCACATAGTGGCAGGAAGCATCCCCCTCGGGTGCTGATGTTAGGCTTGCAGCACCCTAAGAGTGATATGTCCCTTAGCCTGGCTTCTTAGCTGCCTAGCTTGCTCCCCCTGCTTCTGGCACTGCTGGTGAGGGAAGGGGAGTTACTGTTTGGTGACCCTTCTGTGGCCCTACTCAGAGCCAATGTGATCTACTGCTGTAATGATATGAGAGCTCAGAGGTAGTCAGAATTGAGTCCTAAGGGGCAAGGGATTTAGCTCAGTGGTTCTGCTGCCTGCCTCACAAGGGGAAAGTCTGGAGTTGATCCCTGGTACCAAAAAAAAAAAAAATCAGACCTTCTAGAATTGGGTCCAAAGTCATTTTTACTTGGCATCATGGGACTTATTGTGTACCCTGTTGTGGAAGGGAAAATGGTCCTGAGTGGGTGAGGGACAGCAAGGAACAGAGAGAAAACAGAATGGCACCAGAACCAAAAATGGGGGCTTTTCTGATTGAAGGTTCTATATTCTGGCAAGCAATGTACATCAAGGCCAGTGGTATGTGGGAGAATAAAGATTCAGTTGTGTTGGTAGAGAGTGGTTGACAAGTGAGGGGTTAAAATTAAACCGTAATGCAGTTAGCAGTCAGGATGTGGCCTGTGGACTTTGCCCCTCACCAGGGCCTTCAGCAGTTGTCTGTGGTTGGCTGGGGAAGGCAGGGGAGTAGTGGGGGTGGGAAGGAACCCACCTCAGTACCTCAGGCCAAAGAGTTCAGTCTATGGGTGTGCCACCCGTTAACAGCAAAGGGCCTCAGCTGAAGAGGGAAGTGGGACAGATGGATTTCTTAGAGAACTATTGTCTCTGTGTGCTTTTCTCTGTCTTGTCTCAACTTCACAGAGAAAAGCCGTTGTGGAGTTCACTCAATTCTGATTCTTCCTCACCCACAGACCCCCATTCTTATCTCCACCTGCCATCCTGAGGCAGGGGGGCTCCCTTCTGCCCTCCTTTTATCTGGCATCCTGTGCTCTGGTGTCAGGCTGTCCTCCTCCTCAGGAATCTCCCATCATGGCTCTTTAGGCTCACACTTTCTGTTGGTTCTACCATTCAACAAGCCCCAGCATTTCTACTACTGACTTTTGCAGACATCTTCCTTCCAATCTTTATTATCACCGTAGTTAAAGACTGTCTTCCTGTCAGGCGTGGGCCTCTTACCAGCCTCCACTTCCATTCTTAGACAGTGCTATCTCTCTAAATCACAAGTCAGACTTTCTATTCTACTGCTTTAGTCTTGCAGCAGTTTCTCCACTGCTTACAGAAAAAAGCTGACCTTTTGGAGATGATAAAGTTCCTTCCTGATTCGCATCACATTATCTCTCCAGCCAAATCACACCTACCAAACTATTTCCGGATCCTATAACTCCCTCCGGTCAGGCCTCCAGACATCCCCTCTCCCTTTTCCCATATTGTCTCTTCTTTCTTTCTTCCTTCCTTCCTTTCTACCGGGGATCGAACTTGGGACCTTGTGCTTGCGAGGCAGGCAGCGGAACCACTGAGCTAAATCCCCGGCCCTTGTCTCATGTTTCAAAACTCACATTAAACTGTTGTACTTTTGGTGGCAGATTCTCGTCTTTTCTCTGCATAGAATCAGGTTTCCTTTTCTCTCTGTCCCTGTGTACCCCATATAGACATCTGCGGTAGCACTTGTAGCAGCCAGTGGTTTTCTGTTTCCATGTTTGTCTCCCTCCTTAAAGGCAGGGACCATGCATCATTTGTCATTGTTGCCATCCACTATTACAGTGATATCTGGCACTGAGGAAGTGTTTGAGAAGATACGTATTTAGAGTGACTAGAGTGGGGGGTTTAGTTCAGTTGCTGGGGATTTAGCTCAGTGGCACCACTCCTGCTTTGCAAGCAAGGTCCTGAGTTTGATCCCTTGTGTGTGGGGGATGGTGACAGAATGACTAGAGGAGATGAGTGAAGAGTGCCATCCAGGCAGAAGTGACACTGAAAGCCCCATTGGCATTGTGAGTGTTGTGGCATGTATTTTTTTGAAAATAGTCACTTGCCCATAGAAAACTCAGCAACCTTTAAAATACCTGTTATTTCTAGGTCATTTGGTAAACCAAAATTGAAAATAAAATTGTTGATGCAGAAGGGAACTCTCCTACAGGTGAGTTCCCACCCACTTTCATATTTTAGGGATAAACATGGAGGTCAGACTTTGGTCCTCACTCTGATGAGGACAGTGTCCCCTGTAGCCCAGTATCAGGTGGAGTCTGCCCTTCTCCCTATGCTTCCTGACCTGGCCACTGCTACTTGGCATAGAACTGATGTGCGGCTCAGCTCTTTTCTGGAGTACTGAGACTCTCTAATTACTTTTCGCCTTTCCCAAACATTGGTGATTCCAGCAACCTCTAGACCTGAGGTCCTGGGAGGAAATCATGTGGTGATCATTGTGGGGATTGTCTGCATCACTCTCCTGCTGCTCACTGGTTTGATACTGATTCTGAAGAAGACTCACAGGAATGAGAGGTACAGGCAGCCCCACCCCTTGGGTTGGGAGGCTGGGGATGCAGGACTGGGACTGCCTCTAACTCAAAGCAGAAGAGAGTGAGGGAGTCCTAACTGGGGGCATTTTTAAATGGAATCATTTTGATTATCACATTAGATGTCACTGCAGGTAGCTCTGTCCTTTTTGTTCATTATATCTCTGAAAAGATTTGGCCATTCCTACGTGGTCCTCATTTACTTTGGTAATATATAAACTTTACAAATGTAGGTTTAAGTGGAGTATAATTAAGAACATAAATCTTATGCAACAATGATAACAATACTATTCACTGCCTGAGGGAACTGATTTTTAATTTAGCTACACTGAATGATGTGTAAAGTTCAGATACTGAGAGCTGCCAGTGGTTTTATTTAAAGGACTACATCCTAGTTCTGAGAAGCTTTTTGAATGGACATGGTTCTACATGAATTATTGTTGAAAAATGTTTTTAAAGGCCTAATTTCATCAGTTGTTCTCCCAGGGTCTCAGAAATGCCCAGATGCTCTGACATAGATCCTAGAGTTTCTTTGGCTGTTGGAAAGTCCCAAATATTTGGTTTACCCAACTATTGATGAAATATGTTGGTAGGGCAAGTGCATTTTGTTGTTGTTGTTGTTGAAATCATGTTAATGGGAAAGGGTCCTGTGGAACTAAACAATGCTGAGGTTTTTTTTTGTACTGGGGATCAAACCCAGGGCCTCACACATGCTAGGCAAATACTCCACCAGTGAGCTCCCACTGAGTCAGTCCTGAAACACTGACTTTGGGTGACCTTTCCCAAGGGAGTCTAGATTCTACAGAAAGCACTTGTGGCTGCTGGGTTGGCAGTTCCGGTTCCCAAGTTTCTCTGATATGGCCTGAACTTGGTTGGTCTCTGTGAGGGTCTTTGCTCTGAGCATGCTAAGAGCACAGAACTCAGAGCTAGACGATGTGGGTTTCATTACCAGCTTACTTCCCCTCCTCTGGGCCTTGTTTCCTTCACAATGATGGGTGGTATTTCCATGTCCAGTAGTTTAAAGAAATAATCAGACTGCCATGTTGAGATTCATCCATAAATATGTTTACCTATAATCAGAAAGTAGAATCATTGTCAGTGTCTGTCAGAAAGACTTGAGTCAATGAATAGGTATTTCATTCAATGAGATACCAACAAGCCTTTATAGAAAGACATGAAATGATACCTAAGGGGTAGTGATATAGAATATGTAGTATGATCTCATTTGTATAAAAAGAAAGTAATGAGGTGCTTACTTTAGGAGCATATATGCTAAACATGTTTTGTGTGAATTTACTTAAGCCTGCATTGAGAGAGTTGCAGAAGGATAATTCTAAATTATTAATAGTGGTATAATATTTAAGATAAAGAAGGTAGATCCTGTGAGGGTGAAGGGCTTATTGGGAACTTCAACTTCCAACTTTCTAAATTTCTGTATTATTTGATTATTTTATAATGAGGATGTATAACTTTACAATCAGAAAATATGACATTTCTACCTCGAGACAAAAATATATGGTTTCTGCTGGGCATGGTGGCACATACTTATAATCCCATAGTTTGTAAGGCTGAGGCAGAAGGATCGTAAGTTTGAGCCCAGCCTAGGCAACTTAACCAGACCCTGTTTAAAAGTTAAAGGGTAAAGAGTTCTGGGGATGTAACTCAGCATGAAGGCCCTGGGTTCAATTTCTAGTACTGATAAAATAGTTTATTTCTAGCTGACTTTCTTCCCTCTCTCCTTTCCTTCCTTCTTTTCCTTTTTTCTCTTTTTAAAGCCCCTGCCTTAGGGTCCAGGACAGCAAAAAATAAAAAAGAATGAATGTCCATTTAGTGGTGAATGTAGAAAGCAAATGGTCAGGTCAAAGGCAAAGGGCCCCTGGGTGGAGTGTTAGGGTAACTGGGCTTAGCCCTGCCAGGGAGAGGACAGGAGCCCTTGGAATTAGAGGCTTGCTGCCCCCTGTTGGTTCAACTCATCTTTCTGGTCCTCAGAAATGTAAAAAAGGATGATAAAGTCAAATCCCATGTCCCCTCTCTGTTCACTCAGTTAAAATTATACCTTTTACTATGGACATAAAATTGTTAGAGTGACAATAGAGAAGTTGAAGCTGTTTTTCATCCTAGTGGCTTCTTGCTCTCCATTAGAAGTGAAGTAGCTCCAACCCCGGGAACTCTCTCTTCACAAAGCCACATGGGTCCCATGTAGGCACATTTAAATAAACACAGCTGGCTGGTTAATTCCATGTGCTTTTCATGGCGTGCAGTTCAGGATGTTCTACGACCTTGATGAAAACTCTGGAGGACACAAAGAAGGCTAATCCAGAGGTAAGAGAGCTCTGTCTTTTGCTCCTGCCCTAAGAACACTGGGTAGATGCAGGGTAGCACCCTTCTTGCTTCCCTGGGATCTGGGGCTTACTTTTGGTGTGTCTCAGCTCAAAGGGCAGTGCCTTGAGTATGGCAGGGACTCAGGAAGCCCTTAGCACTGCAGCAAGGGCCTGATGAGTGTGGTGGGGCAGGGTGGGCTGAGCCAGACCAGTCCTGGACAACAGATCCTGGTAGTGGGCCAAGGAAAGAGTGCTAGACATGAACAAGGAAAGCTTTTCCACATCCCTGAGCCTCATCAGCAAAATGAGGATAAGGGTGAAGATATCTTCCCTGACTGCCTTTCTGTACTGTTACAAGGCTCAAATGAAATGATGATAGCAAGTGCTTCATAATCCATGGGGCACTGAGTAAATACAAGGGAGAATTACAATGCCTTGGGTAGTTGAGTTAATGGTTAAGATGAAGTGTTCAGGGACTTTTAGAAATAGCTGACCAAGAAGGACTTCTTCCTCCATATTCATTTGTAATGGAGTTATAAATAAGGATTGGGAAATATATTAATTTCCCTTCCTCTTCATCGCTTCCTTTCTCTTTTTAACTTTAAAGAACTCCTTTTTGAACTGTTTTTATCCCAAGAGTAAGATTCCCACCCCCATCATCATGCAGGTTTCTTTGGAAGCCCCCAAATTTGTCACTGGATAATATTGCTTTCCCAAAGAGTGACAGGACTGTGAACCACAAAGTGCCACCGACCTCACAGATGTGAGGTTCAGTGAGGGTTTTCCCTGCCATATAAACCCTCCCAGAGATGGTGATTAGCTGCTGATTAATGCCATCATGCCATGATTCTAATTAGGAGGAAATGTCTGGGGCTGGGGATTTAGCTCAGTGGTTTAGCCGCCTGCTGCACAAGGGCAAGGACCTAAGTTCGATCCCCGATACAAAAAAAAAAGAAGGAAATGTCCACAGAGTACAAGTAATTTAGCAGGATAAGAGTTCCCTGATGCTAATTCAATGCCCATGGAAACAAAGATATTCAGCTTTTGATTTTTATGCTGGTGATCTTTGCGGCTGAGTTGATTTCAGGAAGCTGGAAGACTGAATTACCATTTTTGACAATAATTCTCTAGCACTCAGTAACCCTCTGAACTTACTGGTTTTGGTGGCTGATGCCTATGAATGGGAATAGGAAGACTTTTTCTTGATGTATGAGATTTGCCTAAGTTTTAGGAACTTTGTACCATTTTTTCGTCCTCTAGAAACATGTTTACTCCTCAATAACTACATGGGAGATGACAGAAGAACCAAGTGGAAAACCAGACAGCACCTACATGATCATGGTAAGGATGAATCTAGGCCCCAGCTGTGCCTGGTATCTAGGGGTAGGAGAAGGAGCTGGGAAAGTTTGGTGGGCATAGCTAGTTCACCTGGCAAGGCTCTTTGGTGCAGGCTGAGGTTTTCCTCAGTGGTAGGAAAGTTGGTGAAACTAAGCTTTGCTGGATAGGAGAGTATCATCAAAATTGCCTTTACAACCAGTCTTGTGGATTAAAGTCATTACTAGAAAAAGAAGATGAAGAATGGGCTTCATCAGGAGTAGAGAGAGGTCTTTGCCTTATTAGCACAAGGCCTATTAAAGAGAATGTGTTAGGATCACAAATCTTTTACTGCAAAGGGCTGTTTTAGTTCTATTAGAAGGTCAAAGTAAGATTTTTAATTCTGTACCTTATTAATACTTTCACATAATCTAACTGCCATGCAGGCAGAACAGCATGGAGTATGACTCCTATTCTCTTAGCTCACACTTCTGTGGTTTACCAGTAAGTAAAGCACCCATAAAAGGAACCTGGCCACACAGTGAGTAGGGGTATGGACAAAAGGAGCTGGTTGGCAATAGTTCAATGCTCTTTGTGGACTGATTATAGGTGCTCATCCCACAAAGGAGCAGTGTTCTTCTAGGTTCAGGAAGCCTGGGCCTGTGCTTATAGAATGATGGGTTGTGTTTGTTCCTGCTGTACAGCACAGAGGACACATGACTCCCAGCTGACTGCAGCAGGGGAAAGTCTGCCAGGGAAGTGTAAGATCAGAGACCTGGCCTCGATCCACCAAGTGAAACATTAGTCTTGCTCTGAAGTTGTTGTTGAATAGAGTCATTTTCCCCTACATCCTTTCCTCATTATTGCCACGTGATGCTCCAGTGAACTGCCAGGCTCATTCTGATCCTTACAGAGTGAGTGGCTGATGTGGCTACTGGTGGATGTGCCAGCAGAGTTGGAGATGGTGTAGGAATGATAATGCCCTCCACAGCCCCATTCCCCACATGCAGTGCCAGGTGTTTGTGATGCAGCAGCACCTCTGTCCCTTTGAAACAGATCCAGGCCTAGGCCACAAGCTCAGAGGCCATCGGGACTAGTCAAGGTTTTCAAAGTTTTAAAAATTTTTTTATTTTTTATTTTTAATACTATGTGCCAGGTTAAATAAGCCTGTGGGGAAATCCTGGACTTTAGGCCACTTGTTTGAGACCTCATTTACAGAGGTGATTTCTGATGGATGTAGGGGCAAGGAGCAGGAACCTTTGATTTTTGTTGTTACTGTTGTTGACTTTATTAAATTTACTTAAATGTATAATTGGCCCTTGTATCCAGGACCATATTCTGTGTCTATGGATTTAACTAACCACAGATTAAAAATATTTGGAAAAATATTGCTTTTATAATGAACATGTACAGACTTTCCGCCCTTGTCATTATTCCCTAGACAATATAGTATAACACCTATTTGCATAGCATTCATATTGTATGAGGTATTATCAGTAATCTGGAGATGATTTCAAGTATACAGAATGTGTGCAGGTTACATGTAACTACTATACCATCTTATATAAGGGAGTTGAGAATCCATGGGTGGTAATACATACAGGGTTCCTGGAACCAATCTTCTTTGGATACCAAGGGTCAGCATGATGCTGGGTCCCCTTTCTAAGCCTGTGCACACAGTGGTTAAGATCACAGGCTTTGGAGTTGGACCTGGGCCCAAATTCTGACTCTGTGACCTATCATCTAGATACCAACTTAGAGGCAGGTAACTTAGCCTCTCTGAGCCCCCACTTCCTTGTTCTTACAGTGGGAATAACAGCACCTGTCTCCCCAGGGTGATGTGTGTGAAATTTAGTATTGAGCCAGGCACGTGAAAAGAGTGAGTGGCAGCTGATATTGCTATTGAACTTCCTTTTTTTTTGTTTGGTGCTGAGTAATGAATCCAGAGCCTCGAACATGCCAGGCAAGTGCTCTACCCGTGAGCCACATCTTCTGCCTTACACTACTTCTTATAAGTATGTGTCTTACAAGTATTTGTGTCTTTCCTCTCTTTGCTCACAGCACCCAGTTCAATCCTCTCTGACGTCAGATCCAAATAACCTACTTGGAAAAAAGACAAGTTGGGAAATTCCCAAAACAGACCAAGCTTTTTGAGAAGAAAGAAGAGTTCTCTTCATCTTATGGTGGCAGGGAGTCTGTCTTGTGTGTGTCCTGAGCCACTGTACCAGTTACTTCAGATGTCTGCCTCCTAGCTGTCCTTGGCTTCAGTCAGTGGATGGAAGATGGAGAGTTTGGAGCCTGGCAGAAAGACTGGACAGCTGTGGAGGACCAGGACAAATGAGAAAAGGGGCCATATGGACTTGGCCCCTTGGAGTGGGGCCATGGCCCCAGGCAAGCTGGCTGAGCTGCTGCAGTGGCCTCAAGCACTCTAGCAGACCAGACCCTTCATGTGGACACTTGTTTGTGAATAAACTGCTAAGAAGAACCAAGCCAAATGATTCTTTTGATAAATTATCTCTATATAAATGTAGTTTATTTTTAATGTGGAAATTGTCCATTTTTATGCCCTGGCTGTGGGGCAAGTGGAGCTTGGGTGGGGAGTTTGCAGCATGGAACTCCTGGGAGAATTGAGGTTGCTGGGGGAGAGCTGCACACTGATGCAACATGCTGGGGCTGGTTTTGATCCTAGGAAAGGGTTAGGGGCCGAACATGTTAGAAGTGGGATATGAGCTCTGGGATTGAACCCAGTGTTTCTTCCTTCCAGCTGGGCACTGCAGTGCTGGTGACTCCTTGCGGGCCTCACCATAGGCCTCCTGATTTGGAATTCCTGGGTGAGAGCCTTGGTGTCTGTCTTTTTCAAAAGTGATACTCATAAGTTGCTAAAGAGGACAGCCACTGATTTAACTTGTGGTCTGAAATATGACTTTCCTATACTTTTTAGTTACTATCGTAAGTCTTGATAAGGTTGATCTTAAAGATCCTTTTGTTCTGAACTCTGTCTTCTAGCTTCTAGGGATCAGCCTGGATTCAGCCAGGGTCTCCTTTCCTTAATGACCACAGGTCTTTCTCATTCTCTGCATCCCTTTTTTCCCACTTTGCCATTCAGGACCCAGATAAAGGAGATCTTTGCTGGGTCTCTGATCTCTGATGTAGTTTCAAGCTCATTTTTTTTTTTTTGTACCCAGGATCGAACTCTGGTCCTAGCACTTGTGAGATAGGTGGTGGAACCACTGAGCTAAGTCCCAGGCCCCTCAAGCTCATTTTTGAATGATTCTCAAGCTCTCCAGACATCATGGTCCTCTTGTAACATGCCTGTGGTTGATGAATTCTCTCTTTTATCAACTGTTCTTGGGTAGCCATGGAGAAGAGCCACTGAATGTTCCTGTTTTGTTCTTGGTTAGCCATAGGACACTTGTTACCTCCAAATAAAAAATATGTCAATATGCATACTGAAGGAAATATCCTGTCCAGGACATACCAAGGGCACATGTTGGCATGGTAGGGGGAGGGAGAAGGACTCTTCGTAGCTGATATATTCGTAGAGAGGAAGTGGCTTCATTCCTGGGCTATGGTGTAACATTTTCCATGGGCCAAGGGGCCCCTTTCTAATTCCTCAAATATTTCATGCATTGGAGGATAGCCTTTAAAATACAGGATTATACAGGTGATGGGAGGCGATTTTACATCCATTGTCCTGGGACTAAGAGAATAACGGATAAGAGCTGGAGTGTGGGCTGACAGCTGATCCACATAATCCTCACAAGGCACTTTGATGTGGAAGTGTAGGTGTGCCCTAATTTTAATTTGATTGGTTCAAAATCTGGCTTCCATTCTGGGTTCAGAACTGGGACTGAGGAGGAGGAGGAAGAACACACCCACCTCTCTCTCCCAGCCTTGCTTCCCCACTAACTTTCCTCTCATATGTAGTCATGAAATCAAAATCGAAGGTAGAAACTCCAGGTGTAGAACTCTAATTTTGCCTAAAATCAAAACAGCCCTGGGGCCAGGGGTTTAGCTCAGTGGTTTTGCTGCCTGCTGCGCAAGAGCAAGGACCCGAGTTCGATCCCCGGTACCAAAAAAAAAAAAATAGCCCTGCAGGGGACCATAAGAAAGACCTGATTTCTCTCTCATATCCTCCTAGAGAGGATCATCTATGAAATCTAGTGACAGGAAGATGAACAATGTAGGGAATAGGCTTCAGCTTCACATGACTTGGCTCAAACCCTGGCCCTAGCTCTTACTCTTCAAAATTTACTTAGGTTATTTGAGGGTGTTTTTCCTACACAGATTCTCTTCAAGTCGGATGGGGTTACATCTGTTCTGAAAATATTGTAAGTTGAAAATGGATTTAATACACCTGTAGAACCACATAGCCCCATATTGGTTATTTATTCTTGTGATTGTTGGGCTGACTGCAAGCTGCACCTCACTGCCACTGCCCAGCATTGTGGGAAAGAATCTTACTATAAATCACTAGCCTGGGAAAAGACCAAACATTCAAAACTCAAAGTATAGTTTCTGCCAAATGCATATCACTTTCGCACCATCATAAATATAGAAATTTTAAGTCGAACCATCTTAAACCAGGGACTATATCTACATAAAATAGAGAGTCATAGGATTTTGTTTTCAATGACTGGGGGCCACCGCATTTTCTCTTGCATGTGTCCTACCCTCATGCTGTAGGGTGTACTTCTTTTCCCACTTTTACTTGGCCCAAACTTGCTCTGCAGCCTGTTCCTTTTCCTACCTTTAATACAACTTTGCTCCTATTAAAAAAAAAAAAAAAGAAGTTGAGGATGGTGGCACATGCCTGAAATCTCAGCACTTGGGAAGCTGAGGCAGGAGGATCACTGCGAGTTCAAGGCCAGCCTGAGCTACATAGCAAGATCGGTCAAAAGATATAGTTTAGGCATAGTACCTGGGCTGAGCCTCCAATCCCTTTGAGTGCATTTTCGCTAGTTCAATCCATCTTGTCAGCTCTTGCAACTCAGAAACTGGACTTTTGCCTTCTATGTAATTCCATTCGGCCTGTGCCATTCAGTATGGATGACAATATCTTCTGTTGATTCATCCCCATCTCTTACTAACTTGGACTTCTATAGGCAGAAAATCCTTTAACCAAAATACTGAAATCTCTCTACCCATCTGAAGAGATAAGAAGCTGAGCTTGGGCAAGGGTGTTGTGGAGCTCTGAGTGGTGACACTCTGAGGGGCAGAAAGTGTGCTGAGGAAAGCAACCTGAATCTCTTGTTGGAGATTCTTTAGCAAGCAGTTTCTTACTTGAATTTGCAGTATTTTGGGTCCCTAGAACCCTAGTTGCTCCCATGTCCGATGTTTCCAGAAGCACACAGGCCTTGCCAAGAGAAAGCAGCCCTAAGGGTGGAGGGGCTGGAGCCACCTATGAATAATGGAGGAGCTAGCAGCTCAGAATTTGATGATTGGAATTGCAAATGGCCAGCTGGTCCACTGGGGCCAGTAGATAAGCCTTCCTTAAAAGACTTTCAGCCCTTTGGTCTTTTTCTTGATTTTGCAACTACACACACACACACACACACACACACACACACACACACACACACACATTGGATTGCTCACATGTCTACATTGACAATTTGATAAAATGCTAGCTTGCTCTTTCTGAGTGGTTGGTAAATAGTTGGGTGGTCATTTTGGCACTGAATTACTAAGCAAAAAGAAAGTTTCTCAGGACCACTGACCCTCTGACTAGTTGGTTTGCAGATGTGGTCTAGGCTCCTTCAGGGGAGGTCAGGCAATCCATGACCACTTCCATAAAACCAGACTCTCACATCTCTTCTTCACCAAAAAAACAAGGAAACTCAGAGTTTTCTCACAAAGCAAAGACCTTTCTCATTTCACAGGTGGTGAAAGCGATGGGGATTTACCTGTTCTGGAACTTTCAAAGGCCCCTGTCTGAGTGCATTGTATGTTTATGGTCTTCTGTGTTCTGGTGCCATTTTGTTGCCTGTCTATATCTCCCATTGTTTTAATAACAGGAGCTATCTGCTCCTGTACTTTACCTTTGTCTTTCTTGCTTTGGAGTCTTTGCCCTTGGTGCATTTTTCCTGGGTTGCCTCTCCTTTCTTACTTACTCATAACAACATTCCTTTGAGGCCCTGCTTAAGTCTCATCAGAGTGAACTAGTTCTCTCATCTTCCTAGGTATCTCCAGACTTGATCAGATTTTTATCTTCTGTTGTCCTGATTGTTTCCTGAGGGAGACATGTTCTCTTCTTTTAGAGACCCTGCTTTAGTTCTTTTCTGTGGCCCTTGAAGCCTCTGACCCATGTGAGACAACCCCTTGTGGAGTGGAGTGGAAGCCTGTTCAGGGAGCCTCTGGACCTGGCTCCTGGGGTCTGTTCCCTCACACCTTGGCTGGATGAGGGCAGGATGGTGGAATTTCTACCCTTTCCTCAGATGTGATATAGACATTCACCTACCCTCATCTGCTCAGGGAACTAAAAGGCCCAGAGCATATTCAGAAGAATATGACACAAGCTTTTTACTGGAGTTAGAGTCTAGACAGGTTAGTTGTGTGAATAAATAGTGACAATACTCTCTGGCTCCTTTCTATAGAGACTCCAGCAATACCAGGGGCACCTTCTTATCCTTACCCTCTGCAGACAGGATTCCACCCACCATGCTGCACTGTTTGAGCATTTATCTCCTGTCTAGAATGTGAGCTCCCAAAGGGAGCCGTATCATTCATTTCTAGGTCTCTAGTTTCTAGCCCACTGTCTAGCACACAGGGCCATTGAGTAGGCACAGTCGTCCCCCCTTATCTTTGGCTTTTGCTTTCTGTGGTTTTAATTAGGCACAGTCAGTTTTGGTTTGAAATTATTAAATGGAAAATTCCCAAAATAAGCAATTCATAGGTTTCAAACTGAGTAGCGTGATTAAATCTTGCATCTTTTTTTGGTACTGGGGATCGAACTCTGGTCCTTCTGCTTGCAAGGCAGGTGGCAGAACCACTGAGCTAAATCCCTGGCCCAAATCTTGCATCTTCCTGCTTCATCCCAGGCAGGACATGTACTATTCCTTTGTCCAACATATCCAAGCTGTATCCACTACCTGGCCATTAGTCACTTAGTAGCTGTCACAGTTATCAGATTGTCTGTTGTGGCAGCCTAGTGATTATATACAAGGTTTGGTATGATCTATGGTTTCGGCATCCACTAGGGATCTGGGAACATATCTTCCATGGATAATGGAAGACAATTTTGAGTTTGTTAAACAAGTGACTGGATCGATATGTAAGTGAATGTACCCAGGATCACAGAGCACAGAGAGAAATGATAACTAGAAGATCAGGAGTAGATGACTCTGCAGCAGAGTTTTGAAGAGAACTATGAGCTTGCTAAGCAGGCAAGAAAGGAAGGGAATTCCTAGAAAAGGAAAATGCAAAGGCAAAGACAGAGATGTGAAGGATGATGCAGGGTTAGAGAAACTTCATGTGTCCTGGCGTGGCTTGAGAAGGGTATGGGATGGAGAAGAGAGAAGAGCAAAATGAACCCTTACCTTG